TACTATTACTATTATTATTACTATTACTACTATTATTATTGTTGTTGTTGTTGTATTATTATTGTTTATAATTTATATAATTAACCTCCTTGTGGTTCAACTCAGGTCTTGCTGGGTTATTTATTTCTTTGACACTTCTGCACTTGGGAGAAGACATAATTTTTTTGGTCGTGTCAGTGAACTATAAGCAAATAACCTCAAAATCAATTGCAACTTCATATTTTTTCTATTAGGGGTGATATCGTAAAATATATAAAATTTGACCTTATTTTGATATCATTTGATTGAGGTTTTAATTCGAGGTTCAATTCTGCCACAAAAACACTACTCTTAATAAACCATAAGCAAACCACCTTAGAATCAATTAAAACTTCATATTTTCTGTATTGGGGGTGATATCGCATCATATATTAAATTAGGGCTTACTTGGATATCGATTTCTTGAGGTTTTAATTAAATATTTAATTATGTCGCAAACTGATCATACAAGGAGTTTAGGTACCTAGACATAATAGAACGACCTATAAACTGAGATTTGTTGTTTTCTTGGTATCAAAATACTATATATTAAATTTGAGATCATTTGAATATAATTTTCTTTATGTTCTAGAATTGGGTTTTGTCTTGCCATAATGGGTTTGTTTTGTGTTATCTTCAAAACTTGTTTTTGTTTTTGTTGATTTTATTTCTACTAGTATATTATTATCATATTTGAAATATTTGGTTGTCATTTGAGTCATTTTCATCACTTTCACATTTGTTTGTTTTCGATCCATTCTAATCTAAACAAAAGTTATATTTATAATTTCGAGTCTAAATCGATGTTCTTTCTGTTGTAAACTCTATTCTTGTTGTGACTTCGTCTTCTTTTATTTTTTTTGTATTTATGTCATGCATTTAGCAAGGGAGAGGGAATGAAGGAGGATTATAGCTCAAGGACATGAAAAACTAAGCCATGGTTTGGCGGTTTTAGAATAAGAAGTTGATAGTTGTATAAGATTATTCTATGATCTTCAAGCTTCATGGGAAAAAGGAGGTACAACACCAAGAAAATGAAAGACAAATGAGAGCCGTTGTTGTTATCATTCAAAAATATGTATGCAAGTGGTTAGTATAATGTACTTATTTGAAATTCTTGTCACTTACTACTTCCATACAATGTTGTTGGATAAAAATGTTAACAATAAGGGAATTTTGGAGGCTTAAACAAAAGGCTAATAAAGTAGCTACTAATCCTATTCAAGATTCAAGGGCGAATCTTCTTGAAGAAGGATGGAATGATACAATTCAGTCTTTTGATACAATTTAAGCAACGTTAGATTTGGATTTTGGAGTAAAATTTTCTACCATCCAGTTTTATGCTATTGAGCATAACTCTAAATCCAACTATTGGATTGAGCTGAAACTTTACCAGAAGATTTTAAAAGTATTTTTCTATGTTAGAGTAAATTTCAGGTGAAACAGAGTTTAGAAAGGACTTGCAATATAGGTCAGAATATATTATATGAATTTTGTTATTTATTTCCTTTTGACTTATGAATTTTCTATTTGGTGAGGATCTGTTTTCTAAAAGGATGTGACAGCTTGTTTTGAGAATTTTCTAGTTTCACAAGAATTTTTAATGAGCTGAAACATAATTTTCAAGAGTGGCAATGATTCATTAATGTTCTAAAATTCTTTTCTTATAAGAATTTTTTATTCATCCTAGCTACATAAGAAGAAAAAAAAAAGCTAATGATATTTAATGACAGATTAGTTATTTTTAATATTTTCTTTCGTATATGAGCTTATTAAAACTTTGTTTTGAGCTAGAATTCAAGACTTGTTTGGATCAAGTTATGGGCTTTTTAGTTAGGATTTTTTAGCCAATTTTGTTTGTGAGTCAGTTCAATTCATAGTGGTAAACCCATTATGATTAATTTTTTAAGAACTATTTAAACTCATGTAACTAAAATTTTAGCGGTAAATGATGAATAATACTTTTGAATTTTTTAGTTTTAATATATGAGAATGATTCTTGTATTTTTTAGTTCTTGAAAGAACTAAATTTAATTGATGAAAGATTAACTAACTTTATGATGTCTTTCTACTTCATTCCAAAAATATTAATGTCTTGAAATATATTTTTATTATGTTATACTTTTATTATATTTATTTTAATTTTTCAAAATCATATCTCAATTTTAATTATAAATTACTTAATTTTAATTATAAATTACATGAACATCTGATAAGTTCCATGACCATATGATCTCAAGTTTCTCATCAATTTTTAGATAACTTTCCAACCGTGTAACTTGCATTTTTATAGTAACATCTAACATCTGCTAATTGTCGAGAAATATAAATTTGTTCGGCTGTGGTATAAAAAAAATCAGGATAAAAAAATTGCTAAATGCTGCTTGTGTGATTGCTCTGTTGTTATACATGGGTGCCTAGCTGCAATTTGCACATCGAAATGTGAATCCGTTACGCGAGGGACCTCCTTTCCCAGGGAAGGAACCCAGACGTCGAATCGGCAAGATTGGCCATAACAAAATGCTTGAGGCCAGTGTCCCAAACCTCACAGAACCGAAGCCGCCAATCGGGAGGTTCAATGGCCTCTGTCCCTAGACCTGGCGCTCTATCCTTTGATCCCTTGTTGTTGTCCTCTTGCCAGTTAGTGACATAGGTCGAAACTCTTCTAAAGAACTTGGCTTTGAAGGAATCCCACACCTGGTATTTGTAGTGGTTCACTAAAACCTTGCTCTCTCGCACGTTCAGGTATTTGTATCCATCCCGTAGTTTAAAATGATGCACCGCATTAAGAAGAGTTGTATGAAGGAGCTCTGGGCGCACAACGGATTTGTGTCTCTCCGGAGCCTCAAGCCGACAAGTATAACCTACAGTTACACCCTGTGATGGAGGTGATGTCAATCCAGATGGCCCATAGCTGTGGCAAACCGTTCTTAGCTCTGCAATTTTTGGTGAATCTGAGTATTTCATGACGAGGGTTCGCAGTGAATTTGTTCCAGGTTTATATCGTCCCCTTCCATGTGGGAAGTAGAAAAACTCATCAACATCAAAGAATCCAAGCCACTTGCATTCATGTTTTGCTCTCAAAGCACAGTGCGAAAAGCCTGCCTCTTGTGTCTTAACCCATGGTCAAGCATGCCTGGTGATCTTGTACTTGTGCAAATTAAGCTCATCAATAACTTCTTGAACCTCATCATCGCTATTATTGTCGTATATGAACCATCGCTCGATTCCCAGCCAGGCGTGATAGATAATCCACTCCCGAAGGAAAGAGGCCTGGTTCCACAGCATGGTGCAAGCACAAAGCTCATACTTCCCAGTGTTACTCTCGTGCTCATGGGAGTTGATAATTTGAACTCTGGCGACCGAAGGCAGAGGAGCTTCATGTGCACCTTCAACATTGTAATCAACACGGCTAACACTAACTCTTATGTCCTTAGCCTTATCTAGATTGTTTATAATACTAGGAGGCAACAAACACCGAAAAACTTCTTGAGCAGCTGCAATTGCTCGAGTATTGAACACAAATAATCCTTGATCAAAATCAGTCAAACTGAAGTGGCACTTGAATTTCCTAGCATCGGCTTCTCTATGTGGCCGAAGATTCAATCCTTTAGCAAACACAACCACATTACTAGTGTAAACACTCGAATCCAAAACTGCCTCATAAGCCACCTTGGCC